GGAGTGCTGCGGAGAGCTTTTGTTTCTGTCTGAAAGCGGAGGTGGCGACTGGCTGCCTTCAAGAGCCGCACAGGAGCCGAGCCACACCCACTAAGGAGGAGGAGAGCGGAGGGGAGTGAGGAGGCAGCACAACACACCTGTTTGTCTCTCCTTCTCCCTCTCTGTAACGCTAGAAGTGTGTGATGAAGTAGGATGAGTTTGCCTTTTTTCCTTTCCAGCGATTCCTTCCTTCTCGTCTCTGCTCCTCCAACCTTTACTCTCTTTTACTCTTGCAGGTTGCAGCTCGGTCTATTTTTCTTTCCTGCTGCAAGTCAAAACAACTACAGCCTAACGACGAAGGCTTGTTTGCACAGTTACACTCGGTGTGAGTGTACGAGACTAACACTGATAGGAAGGAAGTAGTCAGGTCAACCACAGTGACTGCAGTTAAACATGGTTCAAACAGTAAAATCAAGGAAGTGACGTGAGAAGAAACTCAACGCTGTCTCAGAAAATGCCTGAACACTCATGTGTCATCCCAAAGGACCTCAGTAAAAAAAAAAAAAAATCTACAAGGCAACCTTTTTAAGATGCCTGACAATAAATAGCTTCTCTCCAAAGAGATGCAATCACAACTTTTAGCTAATCATGGACCACCGTATTTTTCAGACTATAAGACACATTTAAAATCCTTTAATTTTCTCAAAAATTGACAGTGAGCCTTATAATCCGGTGCACCTTGTGTATTAATTCTTGTTGTGCTTACTGACCTCGAAATGATTTTATGTGGTGCACGGCGCTCAAAAATCTGTCAAAATGAACTTGTTTCGTTTAATGATAATCCGGTGCAACTTATAGTCTGAAAAATACAGTAACTTTATTGTGTTTATCCTATTAAAATCCACATTTATTAGTCCTGTGGAGAACTGAATGTTTCAGGATAATAACATTAATGAGTATCACTTGTAGATTTGTCTTTAATTAGTTTTTTTTTCTTCCATTGCAGTGTATGGAGTGTAAAGATGTTTATTTCTGCTCAGAATACACAGCATCAGTACCACCTACTGACTTGTGGCATCCAGAAAAAACTATGATTTGCATTTGGTGTGTTGTTAACAATACTGTGGACGTGTTACAAAAACATACAGTCTGTCCTTGATAACTTTAAAAAAAAAAGGAGTTCAGCCATTATTACTGTATTTTTGTTGGCCTGAAATACTGATCATGTGTGAAATAACAGAAAACTTTGCAACAGAAGGAACTCAAAGCATCTCAACTCTGTGAAACATTTAAAGACCTTGTAATTACTGCATACCTCAAGAAAGCAGATATGCTCGCTGGAGAAAGAAAACATGGATATCTTATCAAAAACTAAAAAAGACGTGGCTCGGCGCAGTAATGAATCACGATTATCATTTTATTTAGTAACTTCACAACCAAAGAAGAAACTGATTACTTTGATCGATAACTACAGAACTTGTGTATGTTTAATGTATAAGTAAATACTTTGTGTACTTTTATCTGTAGAGTTAGACTCCTTGTTTACTTCATGCTACAAATCCTCTGTCTCCTTATGAAGGTCTTTGAAAGTGCTGTCATGATTGGGGGTCGTCATAATTCCTGGAATTTAAATCTTTCCAAATATCATTCTATCTGCCTTTAGTCACCGCTCTTTTCCAGTTTTTTTTTAAAGTTTAGCTTCTCAGCTGAAGCTCTTTGGCAAAAAGCAGATTAATCATTGAACCACAGAGCACCAAATGAGTTTATGACTTTCCCCATCCTTTGTCCTCAAGTCATCGCTCCAGTTGTGCCGCTTTGGATGTTAAAAAAGGCAGAGAAACTCAAATTCTGCCCCAAATCCCCAGAAAGCCTAAGCCACTGCCCGTTGTGTTCATCAAGTTAAGGTGCCGAGGAATTCGTTTGCTGTTTTAAGCTGCTTATAAAGTTCGGCTGATCCGATTTAAACGCGGACAGAGGGAAATATGTAAAAATCAGAGCGACAGGAGAAAGCAATGGGGCTTTTACAAGCTGTCTTTATTTATTCATGATGGTTACTGTATGAGTATAACCTGTTTTTAAACCAAAGTACAAATCTGTGACAACCAGCTCCCTTTATATTTCCTTGTCCCGGTCAAAAAGGAGCATGGTGTATTAATTAGGGCATTGTATATATTCAATTAGATAGAATGTGGTTATAAATAGGGAAATACAGCTGTGACCATTTTGATGAAGCACAACTTGATGGACAGGTCAAGAAGCTGCGGTTTGATGTGATGTGCAGAACGCTTTAAGATGACGTGAAGTGACACCCTGTCCCTTGATGCTTCGTAGAAATCAAATATACAGTATATGTGGCTCGGAGTAGCTGGACGTGTGGATCTGTGGGACATTATGAGCTGACTGACTCGCTCTGATCTGTGGGTGAGCTGGTTTAGTTGGACAGTCAGTGAGTGAAAAGTAGAAGATGAGATGTTCTCTGAGGTTCTTTTTTTTTTTTTTTTTTAGGTTTCAGCAACTTTTATCTTTATCTTTGTACTTTAATCCACAGGGAATGTTTCATTTTAAAAGCTTTAAAGACTAGTTTAAAACTGTCCAAGCAGAAGAAGAGAGAGGTTTAGGAAGATCTCAGGCAAACAGTTACGATTTGTAAATCACAGTTTCAGAAAGTGTTCATTTTAACACACAATACATTGAAAATTAATTTTGGTTCAGTCACGTTTAATTCTAAGGCCAACGTGGCCTCAGATGTGTTAACTTTGTAAAATCTTGGCTATTTGGAAGCTAAAGCTAATATTTAAAGTCTAAAATTAAGAACCCAATAAGGACCCATTCATGTCCTGGATGACCGAGAATCCACACCAGCAGACTGGAAATAAAATAAAAACCATCCTTTAAGAGTTAGATGTGCATTTATGTTGGAGAAAAGATAAAAATTAATTCCAAACTGAAGAAAAGTTGAGCTCTTATCTCTTACACAGAAAAAAAATAAATGCTTAAAAAAAAAAAAAGCATCCTAACATATTGAGAAACTCAAACAGAATAATGGAGAAGAGCAAAATGAGGCGTTGAGTGTGTGTTAGTCCTGAGCTTGTGTGTCTTCCATCACACCACGTCTTCAGGTCACACAGTCTATTGCCACACACCATTAGTGCCTCAATGCTACTGATCAAAGGAGGTGGAGCCAAAACAGCTTTATGAGTATATAAAACTCATGTGCATTAAATTGACATTTACCGGTACTATGATAAGAAGTAAGCTTCATGTCAAATTCATGTGAATGAATGCATCAAACTGCACTTTGAATTTTGCCGCAATATTTTGCAAGAGCGCCAGAACGCTACTAAACAGCCTGAGATAAGGAGCGAGTCTCAGAGCAGGACATCCTGTTTGCAACATAAACACAGAAATACATCACACATTGGAGGTACAAACACTGCTGATGATACTTAGTGCTTTGTACTTCTGTGGACTGCCAACACGCTCTGAGCAAAACGCTACTTCACAACCTTAACTACTGATTCTGATTCTGACTGTGAGGTTTTGTTGCTTACCCAGAAATAGTTGAAATGCAATAAATATGCAGAGTATATTAATAGAAAGATACATAGACAGTGACATAAAGCACAGAAAAATAAGAATCTGCAGGGTGGAGCAAGGATGATTATCATTTCCATCTTTGTCAACGTCCCCCCCACCCCCATACACACAATTATACAGTATATCAAGTACACTGTGCCACTTTGGTCTCTGGTGACTTCAACAAATTCCCTGAACGCCAGCAGCCTCAGCAGCACGATGATAAAATGGGCGCCTGATAGCATTTTCATGAAATCAGCTACACAAGTTCAGAGAAAAGCTCTGACTACCATCCATGGAAGCCACGTTTGATCTATTTTTAAACCCAGGATCAGAACAATCAGGCCAGATATGAAGCAAAAAGACCAACAGCCGAGGAAAGACAATAAATTATAAAGAGTAATAGAAAGGTTAGCTGCTGGCAGCTACAATGCAGCCATGGAGAAAATAAACAGTTTGATCCCCTCTCTTGATTTTCTGCCTGACAGCACAGAATTAACTAAATGGCTTCAGTTTTTGAAACATCTCTATGGCAGAGAGGTCAACCTTGAAAAAAGGAACATTTTTAAGCGATAAGTTGTTTCTATTAAGTGCGACACAAATTCAATCCCTGGGCACGAAATGCAAATAGATAAGCACGCCATTTAACAATGAAACAGATGAACTAATTACAATATGTATAAAACCAGCTTACTGTGCAAAATCTATTGTTACGCTGACAGAAAGGAAACATCACACTACAGTCAAACTGATAAACAGTTTAGTTACAAACGTCAAAGACATAGTGTTCCCCTGACACCTCTGGTTAGATGCATTTGCCTCTGTTGGAAATGGCAGAAAAGGAATTTCTTTTATTGTGGTTAAGATTCGTGCATGTTCCTAGAGTTTGTTTGTTTTTTTTGGCTACAAAAGCTCATTTTGTTGCTTAGTTTAAAATTGACGGTGACATGCATATCCTACAAATACAAAAATGGAAGAAAGCATTTTAATATTTAAGCATTTTTGGCTAAATACCCATAATATTATTCGTTTTGTCACATAACTGGCACCTTTTCCTTTAAACTTGGTGCAGCCAAAATGAAACAGGAAGTGACATCAAAGGAGAACTCTTTAAAAAGGGGAACTTCCTGCTTTTTGTTCATCGAAACAAACTAAATAAGTTAAATGTCAGATTCTTCTCTGCTGTCTGTGTTAGCCATTGTAGCAATAATCTGTTCACATGCAGGCATTCCCCTTTGACATCACTTCCTGTTATTGTGAATGCAAATATCACAACAACTGTGTATCTTAGTGGCTTGAAATTTATTTTGCAATATGTTATTAATGTTGTCTTTCCAAAAATGCATTTGTATTTATTACAAAATTGTGATGTCACAGGCACTTTAAAGTAAAACTGAAGAGAAGTAGATGACAAGTTGTGCATATCCCTGCAGTTATTTTCCTACCTTAATGTTGCAGGCCTGCTCCATAAGTCTTCGTGCATTTTCTGCTGCTCTGTAGCGCTTAGGAAGCTGGACTCTGAAGAACTTGAGAGCCCCCTCAAAGTCTGCCTGCAAGAGGTCTTCTTTGGATGTCTAGAAGGAGACATGAGGAGGTGGGAGGAGAGGATAAACGAGCGAAGGACGTATACAAGGAGTCCAACATGCAGCCGACAATTTTCAGAAAAATGTTATTTCGAGCAATGGCTGTCCGTAGCCAAATATTTGTACTTCGGAAACATTAAAATCATACTCCATTTTTGTGTTTTATTCAGAACAGTAATTTTAGATAAACTTTAGTTTAAATCAGTTTTATTGGATTTCCTTTTCACTCAGCAGAACCACCGTCACTTTTACTTACATTTGTAATAAAATGTTGAAAACTCGTGATAACCCCAGGTTCCTCCTGCCCTTCTTACCTTTACACAAGGAGCCCTCTAAATAGATTTAATTTTGCTCAAAGGGAGGTTTATCTCAGACTAACACTAAACTCAAGATGGCAGCACGTTGGCACAGTTGGTAGAACGTTGCCTCTCAGTGAGAAGGTCGCTGGATAAAATCTCAGCTGGGGAACTTTCTGGGTGGAGTTTGCATGTTCTCTCCGTGCATGCGTGGGTTTTCTCCGGGTACTCCGGTTTCCTCCCACAGACCAAAAACATGCATGTTAGGCTGATTGGTAACTAAATTGTCACTTGGTGTGAGTGAGAGAGTGAATGGTTGTTTGTCTCTATGACTTTGTGATGGACTGGAGACATGTCCAGGGTGTCCCCCGCCTCTCGCTCAGTGACTGCTGGTGACCCCCGCGACACAGAAAGGATGAAGCGGGTAAAGATGATGGATGGATGAATTTGGACGGAGGCATGGAGTTAGTAAGTGTTCACAACACACAAACACCTCCATCATGTGGTGTGAAGATGTAAGGTCACAGGAAGCTACGAGCAAATAAATGTTCAGAGAGTACGAGCAGATATAAAGACATGTTATTTAAAAGACTTTTTCTTATTGAGTCATATTTGCCAGATGTTTCTAGTTCTCTAAGATTTAAAAGGCACATGGACAAAGAAAAGAGAACAAGGTGGAGCAGAGTTCTTACTGAAATAAAGAGCTTGACTTTCTGCAACGTTATTTGTTTATTTTTTGATTTCCTTAAGGTGAAACAGCTAGACATGCTAAGTAAAAGCAGCTTGCTAACATTAAGTGAGTCGCCAAACATCAATCATTTATCACAACACTGAAGAAATAGATTTTATGTCTGTCCTCGGTAACAGCTGCTCCCAACATCAACTCAAGTCAAGCCAGCATGCCACTAAAGCACATGCTAACTGCATGTTCAGCTTATTTCATTTAGCAAATACACATGCATTCCTGTCCAGTCTCACCGCCAGCAGTTTGGGGACAAAGAGTCGGTGTCCCATCCCAAGAAGATCCATGACCCGGCAGAAAGAGTCTGCTGAGGCTTGACCGCCGTGAGCGCTCTCCTCCTCCTTCCCCTCTCCATGCTCCAGCGCCCTGCGTGCTGCTGGAAGGGTCAGTTGGGGGTTTAGGCCCGGTACAGGGGGAGGAGAGGGTGGTGGGGAATGCGGTGGAGATGGTGGTGGGGTGGGACAGGACAGGGGAGAGGGGTGGTCCCGCTCCGGGGCCAGGGTGGCAGATGAATCCAGGGTGTCCTCTAAACGATCAGACGGACGTTTCAGTCGTTTGAGCAGAGCTGGAGAAACGGTGTGTCGGGAAAAGACTTGGCTGAGCCCAACAAAGTGCAGCAGGATGAAATGTTTTAAATTCAATGTCGGGTCGCACTGACCGAGTCCCCCGAACAAGATGATCAGCCCGACCAGAACCGGCTGGAGTTCAGAATGCTTGCTGGAAAAGACAAGCTTAGAGTTACAGTTTGTCAAAATGTCAACACGTGGACAAGGTTTTGGTGGCGACCACTCAGTTTGCACCACTGTCAGAGTCCAGACAGCCCCCCCAGGTGCCTCAGAATCACACTTGGAAAAGGATGAGCTGACACCTTGTTTGGCATAACGCCGAGTCCTCCAGCTACCGGCTAGACACTCTGAAATCCAGCCACACTCCCCACTCTGATCTCGCTTTGGCAAACTCCAACCAAGTCCAATCCAGTATGCTGTTGCCTAGCAACAAACCTGTTCAACACGTGGGCATCTGCTCCAAACGCAGCGACGGAGAAGCACTCCACCTTTTTTTATGTCTCCTGTATCAACAGACTTCACAAATGCTGATTGAATTCCCAAAACAACGTCCTTAATGCTTTGGGTTCAGAGCATCAGATCATGCATCAAAGCAGCCGATACACTTTGTACCTTTTTCCTCGAAAATGTGAGGCCTCCCCCGACGAGGTTTTAGCTTTCTTTGAAATGTAAAGTGGCCTGAATTAGCTGAGCCTGCAGAAGATGATGTGCAACGTCACGTCATGGATGAGCGGATGCTGAACTCGTCGAGCCGTACACAAACCAGGCAGGCATGAATCCAAAGACAAACAGCAAAAAATATAATACATAAAGGAAAAGTATGCTCCAACAGTCTCTTTATCTCTACAATATGCTCTTCCTCTTCACTGATACAACCTTTGGTATAAATTTTATAAAGATCTGAGCAACATTAAGCAGTAAAAGCACAGTCTCATCAGCTGATCCCGTATGGACTCCTGGCTCCAGCAGAATCCTGTTACCAGGAGCAGCCAGGCATCCGGTCTGCACCAGTAAGTGGATCTTTTAGATGAGAAGTCACTTCTTCCACTGAGAGGCAAAGGTCAACGAAGGAGGGTTTGCAAGAGTTGATGTTACACTGTCAGGAATGTTGGTGGTGGCCAGCAGCTGGGGCGAGGCACAGCAAAGAAACCATGTTTCCCATGAACCACTTCTTTTCTCCTCCCTCGATCTTTGTGATGCTAACAGCTAACGGCTAACAGCTGGCAGGGGCGTCTCTGTTGCAGAGGTCTAGGTGGTGGACAGAAGAAGCATGTAGAAAAAAAAAATCGATATCCAGCCAATAAAAAAATCGCAGAAACACAGAAGCAGAAGAAAGTAAAGAGTGATGGAAAAAAGATGCTCCGAGCAGGCATCCACTGAAGCTAAAACCAAAAGCAAGATATAAAAAGACAAACTTAAAGCTCCTCTCCTTCAGGTTCAGAATGCTAACGTTATAGCAGATGCTCCTGTGATGTGGAGGGTTGGGAGGGGTGATGCGAGCAGAGAGGAGAGAAGGATGGATGGAGGAGGGAGGGAGAGAGTTAGCTGTGGAGGAAAATGTCGTCATGCCTAGCCAATAGAAATGTTGTGGTGGAAGCCCCCCCCCCCCCCCCTACACTCTTCCTCCTCATGTGCTCTCGTTTCACACTATTGCTTCCTAAACATCGTTCTCTTTACAAAGCATACAATACCTGACTGCTAGAAAAACAAAAACAGCTAAAATGTAATTATAAATTAGTTTTATTAGTGCTGATAATCTTTTATGATGTCTTACTGTGTACACTATGAGCTGGTTTAAACAAGAGAATTCAAATATTGGCATGATTTCTTAAAAAACAAATGAAGTATTTGGCAGACATATGTTATTACATTCTTACTTGTATAAATAAAAAAAAACATCCATCCATCCATTATCTTTTACTAGCTTCTTCCATTTTGGGTCACAAGGGTCGCCGGCACAGTAAAAAAAAAAAATCTTCTTAAATCAGGCACTGCATAAAACCTTTCAGAGCCTTGTAAGACTTATAATATAAATATAGTCTCACGTAGGCCTGTTGCGATAAACAATAAATCAATTAATCGCATGATAAATTAAAATGATCAAACTTATTTTCATTTATCGGCTTTATTGTTTCATCGTATCTTTCTACTACTAAGTTATGGGAAAAAAAACCTCCATCTTGTCGAAGCTTCAAAATTCTCGGTTGAAACCTGTGCCTTTCTGTAAAAAGTTTTTCTCTGCAAAAAGAAGCTGAGAACTTGATTGCTGATTTTTATTAAAAGCTTTGTGTAAAAAATGCTATGCTAAAGAGCTCAAACCACACCGAGCGTCCACCATTTTGAGAATCGAAGAAAGGCAGCCCATGTCACGTCAAGGCCGGGGCCTCCCTCCCATTTTTCTTAAAGAGACACGCTGCTCGCTCCCTCACTATCCATCCTTCAGTTCAAACAGTCTTATACTGCCATCCGGTGGTCAAAAAAGGTACTATATGCAAAATAAATTAACAAACATCTCTTCTTAAATTTGACAATAATTACTAATTGTCAAATTTCAAACAATATTATCGTTTATCGCAATAACTTCTGAGGCAATTAATTGCCCAGCAAATTTTGTTATCGTGACAGGTCTGGTCTCACGCCTTGAGTAATTGCTAAGGTTTATTGACTCCTACTTTTACATACTACTAAATACATGTTTTGTTTCAAGCATGGATGACATGCTTGTTTGTCAGTAAATAACAGGATGTCCCATTTAATTAATGATTGTATAAAAAAACACTAATATGTAAAATGACACACTCCATCCCACAACACACGTCACATGACTTTCCTTGAATAAAAACACCAACACATCCAAGATGCATGCAATGATCGTCTGTTTGTAGAAATCCTTAGTAAGAAGCAAAAAGTAAAATCCAACCATAATCTTAACAACAAAGTCCATGCTCAATAATCCATAATCCTATTTTAAAATAGTTTCGGACATGACCACTAGAGGGCGACAAACGCAAGAAAAATAAAACAAAAACATGTTTGTTGAGGTGAATTTCACACCAAAATATGAAATATCATTGTGGTTCCTGTAAACTTTATTTTCCACCCTGTTTTTTGCAAACATTCTTATAATAACCAGTTTTTGTTGCATTTGATCCATATGAGAATTTTGGTGCAGAATAATTTTAGTCCTTTACCTGAGATGTCATTTCACAGTTCAAAGAAACAATTCCAGTAAAATGAATGAATTTACAACTAACCTTGAGCAGGGCCAGGGCCACATTGAAGATTATGTTCATTCCCTCGAAGACAAAAATTTAAATGTGAAAACAGTAACAAACACAATTAGTATTAAACTGCATATGATCAGGTTTCAAAAGCCTAAAATAACACTTAAAGTTTTACTTAAATAAAAATGCATACAATAAAGCACAAATGACCTCTGAACTTGTACAAACTCACAGAGCACTTAGACTGTCATTAAGCCCTTTGGTGTATATTTTATCTACAGAACTTGATTATAAGGTAAATTGCAGAACATGTCTGTCATTTGAGGCAGTAATAGGTTAATCATTATAAATAAAAGTAAATATTCTGCAGCTACAGCACAGATATCTTAACAGAACTAATAGCTGGAGATGCAGAAGTGGAAACACATAATAAACTTCATCTTTGATATGCAATTTATTCTTAAAATCAAAAATCAATGTCTAATCTTTGAAGTGGAGCAAATCACAGTGTTGAGTTGCTTTATTTTTTCTCTGATACGTGACTATGAGAAAAGTGCCTTTTCCTTCGCCTTTGCCAGTACAGTGCTTTGAATTTTGACAGAAAGAATTCTGGATGCCAGCTCTGCATGAGAACACCCCTCTCCTTGGTCTCTGGGACAACGAGTCCACATGGCAACACAGAGCTAAAAATATCTGGAGCGCTCCAAAAATAACTGAAGAAAATGAAAAGAGGGTGGGCTCTGCCTCCACACACTTATCTTTGCAGGCCTGAAGATGGTGCTGCCATGCTGAGGCATGATCAAAGTTGTATGAGAGAAAGAAATATCACCACAGAATGGGAGTGCACCCCGCAGAGACGCAATCGGGGGAGATGAAAGCCAGAAATACGCAGAAAGGGAGAAAATACAGCATGAGCGTGTCAAATGGGGAGATGATGAGGCAAGTTTTAAAGAGTCAAATGGTCCAGAACCCAGCTTAGCATCTCTTTACAAACACAAATACAACGTGATTTGTACACATTTACTAGATACGTACTGGTAACGGCCTTAAAATATTTAATAAAAACAAACATTTCCTATAATTTTGCACAATAATTTTCAAGGGTTTCTGAGGATCTTTTAAATTATGTTTCTGCCTCATCTTCAGTTTAGAACTAATGGACAAGCAGGAATACAGGATTAAAATTTAAAAGAAACAATAGCAAGAATCTTTAAAAAGCTGCTGAAGATTTGGCAAAAAAAAAAAAAAAAAAAAAAGCAAAGCTAACGAATATTAAAAGAAACTAAACAGGAAAATGAAGTAATGGCAAAACCCAGGAAGGAGTTTTCAGCAGAAGATGCAGGATTGCAGTCTTGTGGTTTTACAGGCATGTTGTAATCATGCGGCTCATTGGGTGAGAAAGATCAGAAAACTTTTAATTGTTCTGCCTCAGGACAACAGGAGGAGAACGAGGGAGGAGGAGTGGAAGAGACGAAGAGCAGAGAGAAAGAAGAAGAGAGGGGAGGGAGCCCAGTGTTGGGACTTTTACAGCAATAGATGCTTCTTTAGGAATTAATTAATTTGTCATCTTAACCTCTTTAAATTGTCAACAAAAATTAAACTTTACCAAGTGAGCCCATCAGTAAAACTGAATAATATCAGAAAATAAATGTGTATTGTCTGAGAAAATCAACTTCCACTTCTGAGATGTTGTTTTAAAACAACGTTTCTCAAGGATTTCTCCATCAAATGTTGGGTCAAACCTACAAACACAACACTTTTCTCATGAATGACTTGTTTAATCTCCAGACGGGAACCTTGGCAAATGGTTTCCAGTTCATTCTTTCATTTTAAAACTAAAAACAGGAACAATGCAGACATGTTCCTGTTTTTAGTTTTCTAAATTCGCCTTATACTCTAGCTGTTTTTTGCTACTTTTTTTGGCCATCTTATTTGTAAAAAAAATAAATAAAATCTGTATGTCTTTTTGTGGCTGTCTATTATCATCATTCTTTGTTGAAATCAGGTCTCTCTCGTAAATGAGTCCTCGAGGCTCAATGGGATTTACCTGTCTAAATAAAGGTTGAATGAATTTTTGTAAGGGATATTTGGCAATTAAAACTGCAGACTGACCATTAATTAGATTTTAATATCCTTAAGTACAGTTCAAAAACATCTACAAGTAGAACTTTATAGGATCTGATTAACTGAGACTGTGTTGTGAGGTATTAATCCTTAAACTCCCATCCACCACAGCCAACTCTTCTGGATTTTCAAAGACAATAATGAAGCGTCACCACAGCTGTAGTTGAGATAGGTTGTTTCCAACAGCACAATGTCCATTTGCTCTGAAGGTTTCTACAAGTCACATATGTCCAAAACACATACCCTTGAGATGAAAATAAGAAGCCGATGACACGATCCTTCAAGGCACAAGAAATATTCAGTCTAGCCCTAAGTCGGGCCAACCTTTGGAGGAAGTTCATTTAAGATCCTTGTGTTTGAGATCTCCTTCTTGCACTCACTTATTGTATCTTGTCTTGCTCAGGGACACCCACATCTAATCCTGAATTGCTCCCCAGGTGCGTACACAACTGCCCACTGCTCCACCTGGGTGTATCTCAGGTGTGATGGGTTAAATGCAGAGAACCAATCACTGTATGGGAACATACAATGATGACAACATCTAGCACTTATACTTATAATCGTAGCTTACAGCCGTAGATGAAGGTTAAACTTAGATCAAATGGTAACAACAGCTTCACCTTTCAGCTCAACTCTCTTTCCACCATGACAGACCAGTACAGACTGCACCACCACAAATGCCCCAATCCACCCATCAATCTCCTGCTATTGTTCTTCTCCCACTTGTGCACTAGACCCCCCAAGACATTTAAAAGGTTTTCACTTGAGGAAGCAGCTCAGTCCTAACCAGAGGTTGCTATCCCAGTTGCTCCAGCGGCCTTATGGAGCTCTCTGTTCAAAGAAGCAAACACAACCACATCATCTGCTAATATGCAACACAAAGCCAATTGAACTGGAAAACTTCTGCCCATCAGCTGAGCCTAAACCTTCTGTCCACAGAAGTTGTGAACAGACTCGGGGACAAAGGGCAGCCCTGGCAGAGTCCAACACCCACAGGAAATGAGTTTGGATTTCTACCAGCAGCACTAATCATAGCCCAACTGGGACCAAATGACATCTCAAATCAGCCCCTTCAGGACACGCAAGAGGAGATGGACATAAATCTTCAAGTACACAACATAAAACTATTTATGCAATAAAGTTAATCAACAAATGCATTTATATACCAACAGTATGATGTGACATTAGCTTTGCGTCATGCCTCTGATATTTTACTTTGTTGATTTTTATATCCCGTTGCAAATGTATCTGGCTCTGCAGATCCATGTTTGTATTTTTTGACAATTTCTTCACGATTAATCAGCCTCTTTTCACTCTTCTCCCTAAAGAACAAAGCATCCTGTCTTATGGCTGTAAGTTCTTGCCATTACCATATGAAGGGTCCTATAATGACACGTTTGGAGCAACAGATAAAAGACTTGAAATTTATTATAAAAGCTCATATCTGTTATTAAAGTGAAAAAGATGTCCAGACTCTTAAGAGCATAGTTTCAGCATTGCATGGATCATGTCTGCAGATAATGAATCACTTATAATCGGTGGGGGGTTTAGTGGTCCTAATGACATTAAAGCATTGATGTGATCAACTCTTGAAAGGTTGCACAACATGCAGATGCATAAGAGCTGGTGGTTTACAGTAAGTGCTCTTTACTTGTGGCCACAGACAGCTGGCCAGAGGTTTGGTTCAATCAATTTCTCCTTTCATCCAACTCTTTCTTTTCATTCTCATCTTCGTGATCATTCCATAATGGCTGCTAACAAGCTAATGTCTGCCCGATCTTTCTTCTTAATAACCTTCTTTTCTTTCTCCTTTCTTCAAATTTCATGTTTCCACATGATTGACCTTCCCATTATTTGACTCTATACATACAATGTGGACCAAATCCCTCTCACAATGCTCTCAGCATAAAACATTGTACTGCCTTTACCTCGCAGAGCAGCAAGTCAGTGATGTGGAAAACCATGCAGAGGGGGAACTTGGCCGTGAAGAGGGTGAGGAACCACTGAGAGGCATACATGTGTGCCTCCAGGTTGAGCTCCTGGAAGTGGGCCCAAAGATCTGGAAGCTGCTCCTGTGGGAGCAGAATGAAAAGTAGGATGAGAAAACTGTGAGATGAAGCTGCGCTCATAAGAATATACAGTGAAGACACAGCTCATCGTGTCTTTTCACCTTTTTGTTACCTTGTTTTACTCTGACCTAATTAAATTATGGTACTTTGATGATGAACTTGGCAAATAAAATAAATGAATAAATAATAATGACCACTGCTTTGCAGCAGCCAGTCATGAGCACAACACAAACACTGTTAAGTTCCATAATAACTTTATTTTAAAATGATAACAATATCTGCAAAACCGTATATCTGTCGGCTGCTCCCTTCTTCAGGGGTCGCCACAGCGAACTAACTCGAAGACTTGGAAATTGTTTTTACGCCGGATGTCCTTCCCGATGCAACCATATATATAAACAAACAACCAGGGGTGTTGATTAAACAAATATTTACAAAGATTTACAGATCTAAATTATCTGAGGACCTTTTGTTGGTAGAGTCTGTTATTAATTTTACATATAGTTCCACATCCTTAATAAAATGAAGCAAGCATGGCGTTTTGTTAGTAAATTTACATTTATGAATGTAAAATTTGTCCAAAAGAATTAGAAAGTTTATTATAAAAAAACCCCCCCAACATTTAGCATCCTTTCTGGGGAATCTAGAAAAACAAAATAAAACATTTTCCCAACATAAGGAAAATATTTTTCTTGCTCACAAGGCAATAGTGTCAAGTCCCGTCTCTCCCTCTTTCTGACAGAAACCATTGTAATCAGATAATAGCTATTTATTTTTATATAAATTTATCTATCAATATGTAGCGCTTGTTATCAATAAAACACACTGACTGATTCAACAATAATTCTGCTGACAGGGAAAATATGTACGACAGCTAAATGTCCTGATGCATGCTCATAATCCAGGTAGATGAGTCTAGCAAGGTTAAGTCAGGTCCTCTGGATGGATTCTTCTTTGTTGAAATGTTTGTCTTTTATCCAAAAGACTTCTTCAGTACCACAGCTGAGGTATCAGAGGTATGAATTTATATCCATAAAAATGAAATCCTGAATAACAGAGACTTCTACAGTCCAGTCCATCCTTTAGAAACGTTCACTTTTCTTTCAGATATAAACTGTTACTAACCTGCATTAGCCTCTCCAGCTGGTAGAACTTAGAGTGAAGATCTTCAAAGTTGTTCCTGTAGAGAGCTCGGAGGCCATAATCATACATGATTTTCACCAACACACAGAAGGCCTGCTCCTCGGGCATCTGAAACCACACGGATAACTTGAAGACTGTATGTACATGAACCTTTCGGTAAATGAGTTGTACTATAAAATAAACTTTTGCTGCGATTTTCCTCACAGAAAAAGTTGATGTTACTAAGACCAGAGTCAAACGTTCTCTTTTAATGTCTGACAAATGTCCACATAGACAAGTTAAAAGACAGAAAACAAATGAGATGTTTGATTCTGACACTGTTTCTTTGGTTTTAAATAAACACTTAAAAGTGGAAAAAATGTGTATGTTTATGTGTTTAAGTGTGAATCTGAGCTTCAGTGTTTGTATTGTTTGGATAAATGAACATAATGGATATGAGAGGAGGCTCAACGCTGTGTGTTTGTGTTTTAATGGGTTTACTTTTCCTTTACCTCACACAAACACTCCAGGACGGGGAGGAGATATTTAATCAGAGAGACAGTGTGTGTCTGAGGCTGAATGGGCTCATGCAGGTAAACCTGAACCCCTATAAATATTCTTGATATCTCATCTACAACCTCCCCCTCCTCCTCCTTTCTCCATAACCTGTCTGCCTCCTCCTCTTGCATAATGTCTACTTATTGTACTGCAGCTGTCCCCATTTTTCTTTCTTATTTTCTACAGCCTCTTCCTCCTCTACTTCTTCACGTCACTTCATTAAATCTACGCCTCTTCTTCCTCACTCCGCTCCTCTGGACTTCTCAGTGCCTCCCCACAACCCCACTGTCTCACTGCTCTTTAACCTCTGCTGACCTTGGTGTCTGGACTTCAACCAAACTTCCACCTCTGTCTCTCCTCCATCTGGGGCTCCCAGCTCCACCTGTCATCTCTTCTCTCTTCTCCATTTGCCTTTGTGAATTCTCTCCAATATATATATTTTTGGTGTGTTTTTATTTTTTACAGGCAAGTTGTAACAAACGGAAAACTCATCAAACAAAAATGGCTTTTCAGATTTTCCAATAAATAAGTATTGTTATAAAAGGTGTCGTATACATCAGCTACAATTGCAGCGTTCTCTTCTGCATCTCTGCATTGCATTTAGATAAACCCATCGCTCATGTAAGCACAGGAAATTAAACAAAAGTGCATAGAATTATGAAGCCATCATATGTGTCATATGATGCATTGTTAAGTAGAGTGTTATGTTTTCTGCATTGTTCTAACCAAATACAGCATTAGCATTAAAACATTTACTCACATGTAGAAGAAGAACTGCAGCAAGAAACGACTGACCCTGACAGTAACCAATTTCTTCATCGTAGACAGAGTAGGCCTGTAAGAAAGAGGAAAAGATGAAAATTTAGATTAATCGTGTATTAGCAACAAACTGCAGATCACTAGCAAGGATTCATTTATCTGTTAAAGGCTCCGATTTTACCTGGAGAACAGCAAATTATTAGAAATGGAAGTCATCATAGCATCCGGAAATCTCCAACTAAGTTCAAGTAAATACGATTATTTATATAAGTTGATGTATTTCAACAACACAAAGACAGGCTTATTTTTTATTGAATTTATTTGATTTCAATTTTTATTGAATTTTAAGTATGAGATTTATAGTAAATACGATAGTATCAGAATCAGAATAAGCTTTATTATCATTGCACCAAAGCACAGCGAGACTATATTCCCTACAGTCGTCCGAAAGATGGGTGGAGTGAAGCTCCTAGGAGCACGGCCCCTTATTATTTAGTTAGAAAAGAGGAAAGACCATGAGGATGGGATAGTGGTATTAAAAGAACAATCGCTTCACACCATGATCTTCCCAGGACATGATTTACGATATAAAAAAAATCTACCAGCAAGCACATTTACAACACATTGCATTTGCATTTGACAAGACGGTGAGATTTGTCCATGAAGCACTCCCAGATAGCACCATAGTCCTGATAAGATGTTAATATCAGCTGGTACAACTCTGATAAGTGTTCACAGAAGTTCTTGGGGGGGGATAGAGCAGAGCCTTCTTAGTTTACACATACCAGGAGAAATTTCACAAGTTGTCCTATTCAAGGCTGAACGGGGTGGCCAGATTCAGATAAGCCACACTTGTTTTTTTGTGCAGGCAGACTGTTTTCCTCATCAGCCTTGAATTCTGCTGGTACTCTTGATGATCCAAAATTGCCAGATTTGTGGGCTTTCTGCTGATCCGTGCTTATTAGCCTTCTCCAAGGTCGACTCCAACATGCTGGCGAGTTCCAGAAGCCGCAAGTGGCCTACGATTGTCGTAAATCGCTTCCATCTTACGGATGAGCTCGTAAATCAGCTGAGTCTGAGAACTTGAAGCGCGAATTAGTCCTTCACATAAGGTCATCAGCTTTGCCATGGGCAAAACTGCTGCAGCCGTCTTCCGTAATAGCCAATAACAGGTATCCAATGGTGCCAAAAAGCAGAAACCCTGCTATCATAAATCTAATGACGTATAAATCTTCGACATCCTCCTGAGCCAACACAGAAAGGTACATCACTTTACACTCTTCCCACGGATCCATGACATACCCGGCCACGTGCATCTCAGCAGGGCATGAGGGTTCTCCAGCACACTGTCACTTGGTTGAATTTTATCAATTGCATTGAAAGTCCAACTGACCAAATCCATAACAGTAATTTATCATTTGGAAAAGGTGTAAATAGAAGCTCTGATACACAGGACAGAGAGCAAAAAAGCAGGAAGGCAGGAGAGGGAAGAAAAGCATCCGTCTTGCTCGAGGGCGAGTGAGGAAAAAAGTAGACGTCTAATAAATCAATATTTTCTGTTCACCTTATATAACAATGACAACCTTCACAGGAGAGGTTCAGTCATTTCATGCCTTGTATACTTAAAACACTTATTGAGGTAACATCAAGTCAATTTAAAAGTTAGTACACAAAAATATCAATATTGCTACTAAAATAATGATTATGATTATATGAGCAGCATTTGGCCCAGTGATTAAAATGCTTTAGTTAAAATGTATTTTCTTTATATATACAAGTGTTTAACATTTTAATTCTCATGAAATGCACTTCTGATTTTAATAAACATCTGCAGATCAGCATCTCATATCTAGACAGCGTAAAAAGGAGAACTTATCCTAGGAGACCATTTCTCACCAGCCCTACAGTTTTTCCAGAACAAATGGCCCAAGGACTTTTTTTTTTTTTTTTTCTCCATGTTTGTCGGTGGCAATGTCACATTCTACGTCTTTCAAGTTTGTGAATGTAAAACTAAGCTTCTAAATCTAGATACAAAACATCAACATTTTTAACAGACTTTAAAGAAAGAATAGTAAAGTGTTTAACAGCATGAAAACACAGAAATAAGTGTTTAATATTTTCTTACAGACCATGGTAAAGGCACACTATAGTCGGTAAATGGACTATAAATGGACTGTAGCGCTTTTCTATCTTATCAAAACACTCAAAGCTCTTTACATCACAATCTGTGCCCTCCTTTATCCATTCATACAGCACTCTACTACTTCTGTACAAAGAATAATCAGTGCTTTAGAACATTCATACACTGATGGGACACACATCGAAGGCAGTGAGGGGTTCAGTGTCTTAATTAGGGACACTTGGGCATGTGACTACTGGTGGAATCGAACCCCCAACTCTTGCATTGGAGGACGACTGCTCTAACCACTCAGCCACAGCCACCCAGTCAGTCCTTGCATCATCAGAGTTAGACAGTTATAAAAAGTACTGCCTATAAGAGAACTAGTATTTTTTTTTTAGAACTAGTATTTATTTTTTTTTTTAGCTCAGTTTAAGTGTAGAAACATTGTGAAGTGTTTCAATGAACTTATCATCATCGCTCAATTTATTTATTTATTTATTTTTTTGCATATAAAAAAAAAAAAAAAGAGAACTAGTATTTAAGTATTATACAATTTTGTAATTGACAGGACAATTTCTCCCAGCAGCCTTGGGTTTGAATTATGCTTCTTGTATAGTTTCAACCAAGAACATTGACAGTTTCACAAACAACATGATAGAGAAAGGTTTGAATGGAGTGGGGATAAGACTGTATAGATAAAATATTAAGGTACCAAAGCTGTTTGCATAAAACTGACTTGAGTACTTGCAATGTTAAAAATAAAAAAGGGGGGCATATTCTCACTACAATATGGCCAAATCAACAGAAAAAAAGATAATCGAGGAAGAAAGTAAAATATCTTACCCAGACGTAAGAATGAATGTTTTGTATTTATGTCCGCTGCAGTAATTAGCTGAGAGGCAGCCTGTTTAGTTTTGTCATTTACAGCAAAGACAAAGGAAAGACTCAAGAGATTTAAAGTTGACTTACTGCAAATATCATACTAGTTAGTTAACACATGGACCTAATTCCAATGGAAAAAAAGATCCAATGATCTCACAAAATATCAAAATCCATGCCACACATCTGTGCTTAAAAACATTAAAAGTTATCAGTCAATGGTTATTTCAAAGCTTGCTTAAGACAAGGAAAATGCCAAAATGACCTGGAAAAACTAAGTTGACAAAGGATAAATATCCTCTGACATTTTGTCAGGTTGCACACTCTGCCACAACCAAACGGACCTTAACAGCGGTAAATAAAGACCGTCTTTTCGTGTCTGGAAAATAAATGTAGAAGCTCCTAGTTCCACTCTTGATGTGTTCAGATAATTTGGTATTTGAAGTGAAGGTAATGAAGAAGTCTTGCAGCGCAGTCTTTCATGTAATATACAAGCAGACACGCTTGATGGAGTGTGGCATTCACACGTCCCCAACTTGGCTGGGAGAAGTGCATTCTGACAGATGGATGGGGGAGGTCCTGGTGGGTGAAATCTAAATTTGTTGGCCTGGGCAGATAATAGGCTCAGAGGGGTGGATTATTGCAAAATATGCCTGTTTCTTAGCCATCAAGAAGACAGTTTGCTCATATGTACGATGTATGACTGAAATGTTCTTAGTAAGTTTGAACCTGTTATTAATGATCATGTAAAGCCACTCTGTAGGTCCGTCCGTCTATCACCACTTACCCATGGTCAGGATGCAACCATGGATAAGTTTATGGTAAAGTTCAGAAGGGAAACCTAGACATCCCTCTCCTCAGCATCATCCCAGTTCCTCCTGGTGGGATCCCAAGGTGTTCCCAGGTCATAGAAAGTAATTAACATCTCCATATCTGGGTTTACCCCAGAGTCTCCTTCCAGTGGGACCTGCCTGTAAAATCACCAGAGGGAGGTATCCTAGGATTATGGAGATCTGTTTTGGGAAATTTTATAGGTTGAGCTACTCTTACAACAGAAAGTAAATTCCAACTAAAATGACTGATGAAGATCTAAGTGTTGGTGTACATTTAGGGAAACTTTACAGCTTTACTTTTTCCGTATGCAAAAAACAATTCAACGAGTTAATGTCAATTTGTCTCACCATGAAGAAAACGAGTCAAGAAGAAGAAACGTGGCATTTTCCTCACAAAACAGTCGGGAGTGACAGGAGAATGATATCATGACTGACAGTGTCTGAACTCTGAGGTAAACAAGTATCTAAACACTTCACTTTGAAAACAGAAATACTTAAGATGGGAAAATGAGCTGCAGTTATTTAAAAAAAAGTTGATCTTTTTTAATGTTGCTGCACAACCCCCCCCCCCCCCCCAACATCAGAAACTATAGTAACATTTTCAACGAGGCTTTAAGTTACATGAGCAGAACCCATCCATCCATCCATCCATCCATCCATCCATCCATCCATCCATCCATCCATCCATCCATCCATCCATCCATCCATCCATCCATCCATCATCTTTACCCGCTTCTTCATTTTCAGGTTGCGGGGGTCACTGGTGCCCATATCCAGCAGTCACTGTGTGAGTCGCCCACTCCTTTCTTTTACATCTAAAGTCTACCAGGGACAAGTTCAAGGTTCAAGGTTCTTTATTGTCATTTGCATCACATGTGGTACATGAGATGGAACAAAATTGTGCACTCAAGGTCCCAGTTATACCCCAAAACAGCAAAAATATAAAGTATAAACAAAAACAGTGTATAAGAATATAAGACACACTAGACCTACGCTAAATGAACGCTAAGCGATACACTAAAAGATCTAAGATAAACGCCAAGCATCAATAATGTAAAATAATATGGTATATTAAACAGCAGCCCGAACATGAGTCTGTAGTGAGCAGATGGGCATGAATACAGCAGCGTAAAGTACATGCTGCAGCATAAAGTAAGCTAGAAAAAGGACAAAAACAGATGTTTCCATCAAAATATCCCCTTTTAAAGTTATCAAAGTTATCAAATGTTATAACTGTCAGTGTGTTGTTAAAGGTATTTCAAGACTGCTAAGGAAGAGCTTCCAGGTAGATGTTGGAGATTTTATTTCTCAGTGATGGCTTAACGGTGGTTTTTGGTGCTCCGGTTTCCTCCCACAGACCAAAAACATGCATGTTAGACTGACTGGTAACTCTAAATTGTCTTTAGGTGTGAGTGAAAGAGTGAATGGTTGTTTGTCTCGTTTGTCTCTATGTGTCCCTGTGATGGACTGGAGACCTGTCCGGGGTGTACCCCACTTCTGGCACAGTGATAGCTGGACATGGGCACAAGTGACCCCCACAACCCAAACAGGAAGAATGGGTTAAAGATAATGGATGGATGAATGGAACAGAAAATGAAGATTATCTCTAACAAAAAGCATGAGGCTTAGGTGCTCTTCCCCAGAGAATAAAGGTTAAAAATGAAAGGCTTCAGGCTTATTACTGAGTATGTTATGTAGATGAATATAAACTTTGTCCTGGATTCTCCATGCCTGTAAAGCCTCAAGATCCAAGCAACCTTATCAGCTGCAAATCTACATGGATTTGCATACAAATGAAGTCTGGCTCACAACTGACCTAGTTGGAACCAGACTGGATGCTAAACCCTCCTGACATTTTCTCCCAGAGCACTGACCAAACATACTCTACATCTGCATTTATGAATTGATACCACATCAGTTTAAAATTTGGATTGTTAAAAAAAAATAGACAAAACATCACTGATTTAATATCCTGATGCATGCTCAATAATCCAGGTAGAAAAATCTAAAAAAGCTAAATCTGGTCCTCTGGACATTCAAAAAAACAAAACAAAGCAAATCAACAAAAAAATGTAGAAGAGCAATGTGGATATCCTAACTGGGCCTTCCTGAAAGCAGAGAAGAAACCCAAACAGGACTCCAGTCAGCCAACAGTGAAAAGGAGGAACCCAGACCCAGACCAGTGGTCATTCCATATGTTGAGGGAGTATCAGAGAAACTGAGACGTTTATTTTCTAAACATAACGTCCCAGTGGCTTTTAAACCCCAAAATACATTACGGCAAAGACGTTCATCCCAAAGATCCAGTCCCCCGGCACAAACAGAGCAATGTTGTGTATGCTGTTCAGTGTCAGGAGGGTGATCAGTTTTACATAGGGGAAACTAAACAGCCACTGGCCAAAAGGATGGCCCAGCACAGAAGATCAACATCATCAGGCCAGGACTCTGCGGTCTACACTCATCTCCAGGCCAGCGGTCACTCTTTCAGGGATGAAGATGTTCACATCCTGGACAGAGAGGAACGATGGTTTGAGAGAGGAGTAAAGGAGGCCATCTTTGTGAAAAGAAATCGTCCATCATTAAACAGGGGTGGAGGCCTCCGGGTTCAACTGTCCCCCTCTTACAATGCTGTGATTGCTAGTATCACTCAGCCTCCTGTGAATAGTAAACAGCCATCAGTGTGCTAATGATCCATTGTTAGGCTGATGGTCCTTCTTGAGCATGTGATCAGCTGGTTTTGGTTGTCAGCAGCAAACTGGTTGATCCACTCTGAGACGGTGCTATTTAAGAGACTGAGCTGAATACAGCACCTCAGACTGAGGAAGTCTCTCGGATGAGAGACGAAACGTTTCTACATTTTTTTGTTGATTTGCTTTGTTTTGTTTTTTTGAACGTCCAGAGGACCAGATTTAACTTTTTGAGATCACTGATTTAACTATATTTATGCTTCATAAATACTATTTATAACCCTGTTGTTTCCTAGCCATCATTTGGTTTAAAATTATTCATTTGTCATTTCATGTTTATATTTAAATTGCACAAGATAATACCACGTCAGAAATTTAAACAAACTGGTGTTTCTTCTATTTGCTCACCTGCACAACTGGTTCAAGTGACAAAGAACAAAGTACTGCCCAGTTTTCTATTATAAATCCATCTTAGTCACCCTGCCTACTGAGCCTTGACGAACTAAAGGAAAAAAAAAATCTGGCTGGCATTATAGGATTAGACAAGTTTCATCTCATACAGTATTTGAGAATTAAAACCGAATCTTATAACGCAACAGAAAATACTTTTCGAACATGCACAAACAATAAAATTTACTTAAGGCATTTGTCTTTTTTGCTTGATGGCATAAAGAAAAAGTACGTAACCTACAACCTGGACGTCAGCAGCCATTTTAGTTTCTAAATAAATAACCCTCTCTTCAAAACCTCAGAGTATTATTTCTGACTCACCTTGCAGATCTTGTACAGAGAGTCCTGTCCATCTCCATCAGAGTCCTTGAAGTAGTCATGTGCTGGAAAAGTGCGGTGGATGTCACGAGTGATGACACTTTCCTGTGGCGAGTCCTGCAACATACAAGATTTGCATGCTTTACATGTGAAAACCCCCCAAAAAGTGTAATTTTATTAGTGATTAAATAAATGTAATTTCAATAGATCTTAAATTGGAGTATTTACTTTTTAAATGGATTTTTGCTGATGATCCATCAACAATGTCTTTTTTTTTAAAAAAAGAAGATTTTTCCTATTTAAAGCTTGGACTTTGTCAAAATAAAACCAGACGTACATTTCTTGGCTTTAGAAATATTTTATCAGTGCAGAAAATAAATGATGTCACATTTAAAATAGACAATGCTAGTTCACTGCTATGATACAAATAAGCAACACACTGATTCATTACTTATTTTCCTTTTGTGGCATTTGCATGCCTCAGTCACTTGTTTCACAATGACCTTCTAAATCTCAAATACATACAAAGGTTCTCAGGTATTTCCCTGTTAGTTAATTCCTCTCGCATAAATGCACATTATATTACAAATGGTGAAAACTTGATCAGAGAGAAGGCAGATTTCTCAAACAACTCCCAGTAGATAAATCAATTCTGTGCCTGGCTGGACTTGATGTGTCTGTGTGCAACAGACAAGGAGAGGAGGCTTTGAAAGTGAGAAAGTATTTAAAAAAAAAATCATCTGCCCTGTTTTCTACCTTCTTTAATGTACTGAGAGGAATAAAACAAAAAAACAAACAAACAAAAAAAGAAACAAGTATCTTAAGGAAGTAAAGCAGCTTGCAACATGTCTGTGGAAAACACTGCAGGAATGAAAAAAGAACTATACCAAAGCTCTTGTTATTTGTTAAATTTCATGCAATAAGTAAAATATTCCTGTCCCTCCATATTGTATTGCTTAAATAATAAGGTGATAGAACGGCATAAGAATATCATTTGGGGTGCTCTTGCAAACATATAATTAAAAATATGACCAAATATTTGCAAAGAAACTGGTTCAAATCAAGCTGGAGGCCTTTCTTACACATTATTCTCCCCAGTTCTGCATGTAGTTTATGAAAAACCTTTCCAAAAGAAAAACTTTCAAAAAAAAAAAAAAAAAAGCATGATTTTCTCTAATGGGAGGACAAGTACAATACAAGACTGAGACTTCTTCTAGTGGCTTTAAGAAGCATATTTTAATGTCCGTTTCTATTAACATTATTTTTCAGTTAAATTCGTTAAAGCCATTAGATTTAGATAAACGACGTCTGGTATTAATGATAATCGTTTAAGGTTCGACCACTTGACATGAAAATTAGATAGACTGATTGGACCAGAAATGTGTAGTAACATACACAATTATGCACACATTAACGTGTTTGTGTACTAAATTACAATTTTGACCATTAGTATGATGCATTTTTTCTATTAGTTTGAAAATGTGTCTTTACAAAGGCTTTGACAGAAAGGCTGCTGGCACGACTGCATGCAACACTTTAATGAGCTTTGCACTGAAGGGGTCACGTTTTGTTTAGGGTGGGGAGAAATGGAACGGTATGACATCATGACTGTACAGTAACAACAACAAAAAGACAAGAAAATAAAACACAAGCAACTTTTCAAATAAAGAACCAACTTATTTTAAATTTTACTCATGGTAAAAGTTAAACAGTAAAACTATCTTTCTACATGCATTGGGTATGTTAGAATTTCTAAGTTTTTAATTATTATTATCATTGATTAAGAGAACCTTCTGTAAGGTTAAATTAATACTAGAGTAGTAAAACTTTTAAAAACAAAATGATCTGAATATATTTTGATTATAAGTTAAATAAATGTAATTTTAAGATTTGGCTCTTTCAGGAAGATGTTGTGCACCTTCCTTTTTCTATTTAATGAAGTCATTTACAACACACAACCAGATGGGTAAAGTCATAAAGGTCATCTCATTACAATGCAGTGCTTTCTTGGCCGTTGTTATTGTTTTTTTTTTTTTTTTACATGTAACCCATAAATGAAAATAGTTGAAGAACAAGCAGGACAACATTTCTCACCATACTGTCAAACAAGAGCATAAACCCCTTTAACCAACTTTCTCATTTCCAGATCTAAATCACGTCATGCACAGCCTGAATCAAGAACATTCTAGACGTTCAGTCCTGTAACCAAGAAGATCCAAAGAGGAGAAGAAGAGCAATAACCTTACCTTCAACATAAATACTGCCTGATCATTATTAGACTTCATAACCATCTCATTATGCATACAGTTTTACAGCAGTTATAACCATGGAAACATCGGCCAAGACCGGCAACAATTTGGCTGACGGCAAAAGTTGTAAACACTTTGATTTAATAAACCATGCATGTCTCTGCTAATTAACAGCCTCATTACTCAAAAAACACCAAAAAGTAAGCGAGGACGTCATCTGCACTGCCTTTCTCATCTTTTATCCTTTCTTCTCTGCAATTTCTTTCAGCATAGCCCTTTGATTTTAATTTTGTACTTCTTTGTTTCATTTTGTTCATCTTTCGTTTTGTCCACCGCCGTATGATCACTTTTTTCTACTTCATGTCCAACTGTGTTGTCACTTGAGCTGCTACGTAGATAGACATGAAGCAAATAAGCTTCTTAAGTCTACCAGTGCGGTTTACAACAAGCCTTTCCTCTGAGACTAATGCTTCACATATTTTGATGCACTACAATCGTCTTGCTGTGACTAATCAATTAATCACACCGAAGTGTATGAAAGGTGGGTATTAGGACTACTGCACCCAACTTGTTAGGGAGTATAATAGGGTGCAGCTAAGCTACAGCTAATGTTGTCTTTGTCCTAAGAAACTGCAAAGAGATTTTCCTACTTTAGTAGAACATTCTTTAAACTTCGACCTAATCTGCTGAGCCAAGTGTGTTCTTAAAGAATAGTAGTACTATGGAAATGTTTACTGTATTTTGGATGCTTTCTGTGCATTAAGGCATATAAACTGTAGTTCTCCAGCGAGTCTAAAAGGCAAACCCAAACCAATGTTGCAACGCTATTGCCTTTTGTAGTTGGCAATTTAAAAATAAAATTTTGTAAAATGTGTATTTTACAAAATGTGAGTTCAAGTCTGACAGACTGGACTGGAAATGAAACAGTGAAGCATCTACAAGAAGGGGCAGAGCAGACTGTACTTCTTGAGGAAGCTGAAGTCCTTCAACGTTTGCAGCAAGATGCTGCGTATCTTCTATAAGTCTTGTGTTTTTGAAACCATTAGTGAAAAGGCCAGACTTCAGGGGTATCTGAGGCAGGCTTGAAACACAAGAGTCAGGGTGGCTTCTGGGTAATACCAGATGGCTAGGCCTCAGACTGACGAAGCCTCTTGGATGAGGGGCGAAACGTTTATTTTTTAACAAAAAAAACGAAGTCCAGATGACATGATTCAACCTTTTTTGTTGTTATATACCTGGATGACTGAGAAAACAAACTTTGTGTTCTATAAGTCTGTTGTAGAGAGCGCCATCTCTTTTGCCATCATCTGCTGGGGCAGCAGCGTCAGAGCAAGTGACTTAAAAAAGATCAACAAGCACATAAAGAATGCTGGCTCAGTTCTGGGGACTCCTCTAGAACCTTTGGAGATCACTGCACAAAGAAGGATTCTTCATAAAACGAAGAACATTATAGACAACCCTCAGCATCCTCTTCATCAGACTGTCATACAACAACAGAGTGTCTTCAGCCAGAGTCTTCTTCAGATCTGCTGTAAGACAGACCGCGACAAGAGATCCTTCCTGCCCACAGCCTTCAGCATCTAGAACAACTCTTTAATGAAACCAGGATGATGAGTTACAATAAAACAACATTTAATTTCCCTCTGGGACTAATAAAGTATTTTTGAATTGAATTTGAATTGAATTGAAGTCGGAGTCATTATTCAGTCATTTGTCAAAAGGCAAATTCAGTAAGAACAATAACGACAAAAAAAAAAAAAAAAAAATTGAGCAAAAGTACAAAAGCATTAAAAAATACAGAAGTTTTTTTTTTTTTGGTCTCAAACAGAGAGATCCACCCCTTAATGTTTCTGTACATTGCCTTGAGATGACTCCTGTTGTGAATTGGTGCTATATAAATAATGCATTTTTTGACATATAAGTCATGTTTTTTTTTTCATAATTTGCATGCCTTGTGACTTATATGCCAAAGTGACATATTTATGGATTTTTTTCCCATATTTATAAACCAATTTTTGGCTGAGGTATGACCGTTTTCATTCATTCTGACTGAAAATATTGAATACTACCATTTTCAGCCACTAGATGACACTCGAGTAGTATGGCATGCTGTTGTGCCATGTAATAGGTAAAAGTGGCTATTAATGACACAATCGGCTTGCCACATTTGCCACGTTCATCCAGTTCGCCTGGAGCAAAATCAGCTTAATTTTGCTGCGGTGCCCTGGCGAAATGCAGCTAATTTGACCATTGACGTGCATTTATTAAGTAAAAATTCAACTGAGACACACCTTTACTATAAAGTCGAGCTAACAAATAATTGTTTTTAGGTACTTATCTTGTTAAATTTCAAAGAAATGCACAGCAAGTCCTCCCGTGCACGCGTCTACTTCCGTGTATCGGCTGTTGAAAGGCAGCTGATTTGACCGTCAAAGTGCATTTATTAAGGAAAAGTTAGATTGAGACACACCTTTGCTATGATTTCAAGCAAACAAATAATTGTTTTTAAGCGTCAATCTTGTTAAATTCTTGTTAAAATCCTCCCGTGCAAACTCCCACGGCCGCCATTTGGCAGCCATTTGATTTTTGGCATACCGGCCCACATTTCTGGGTTGTCAGCAGTGACGCATAACAAACGCGACACGTCAGCGGTGACATATAATTGATGCGACGTATATGACGAAGCATCATATTTATGGATTTTTTCCACGTTATTAGACATATTTGGACTGATGCAACTTATAGGATGGTGCAACATGTACAGCAAAAATATGGTAAACTGAATGTAATTGAACTATAATTAGGGATAAACGACTTCGGAAAATATTCTAATTGTGATTTTTTTACCTCAATATTGCGCTTCTGATT